TACTATTACAACGACCACGAGCATTACAACTATTACTAGCATTACCACTACTACCCATAGCATTACTGCTAGTACTACTACTACGACGAGCACTGGTATTACGATTGCTTCTACTACTTCCACGACAACTATCACTACTTTACTACGACTACTACGATTACGACTACGACGACTACTTACATATTCTTTCTTCCACTACTACTACTACTACTACTACTACTACTACTACTACTACTACTGCTACTACTACTACTACGAAAGCTATTACTACCACTACCACTACTACTACCAGTACTACTACTATTACTACGATTACTACGACTGCGACTACGACTACGATTACTACAGGTACTACTATTACTACTACTACTACTACTACTACCACTATTACTACTATTACTACTACTACCACTACTACTACTACTACTACTACTACTACTACTACTACTACTATTACTACTACTACTACTACTACTACTACTACTGCTTCTACTACTACTTCTACCACGACCTACGATTGATACTCATACGATTCATACCCCTCAGGCTTGCCCTACCATCATGATTACGACTACTACTACTGTTATTCTGCTACTGCTACTACAGGTACGATTGCTGCTGCGACGACTACTACTAGTACTACCACTATTTCTACGACTACTACTACTACTATTACTACTACTACTACTACTACTACTACTACTACTACGACTACGACTACGACTACGGCTACTACTACCATTTCTACTACTACTACTACTACTACCATTACTACTACTACTACTACTACTACTACGACGACGACTACTACTACTACTACGAGTAATTTTAGTATTACTACAACTAATTATACTACTACTACTACTACTACTATTACTACTACCACTACTACTACCACTACTACTACTACTACTACTACTACTATTACTACTACTACTACTACTACTACTACGACTACTAGTAATACTACTACTAGTACTACTACTACTACTACTACTACTACGACTACGATTAGTGCTAAGACTATTACCGCTATTTTTACGAATAGTACTACTAATATCTCGTTCACCACTACGGGTACTAGAACCAGTACTAGTACTAGCCCTTACTACTATCGCAGTAGTCGTGGTCGTCGTCGTCGTTGTCGCCGCCGCGGCGGAGATTAGTTTCCCTTTACAATCCGGCGGTTTGATAGTGTTGGGGCTTCTATCTCCACGGAAATAATTCATTGTTGCCCCCCCCACACGCGAGGGGATGCATGAGCATCTTGTCATGGAAATCGCACTAGGAATAAATGGCCGTGGTTGGAGTCTCCAGTGTAGCGGATAAAATCGTGATAGGCATCGTGGTTGTCGCGTTTGTTGTCGGAATCGTAATCCGAGTCGGAGTCTTAATTGTTGTCGCCGCCGCGGCGGAGAGCATTCAAATCACGATTGCGTTGGGCACTCGTTTTGAATCGAGCACTGTGGTATCTACCTTCCTTCTCCCGCCTCCCTTCGTCCTTCGGCTCTTCTCCTGCCTGTTACTGCGCCTGCCTGCGGCCCTGCTTCCTGACCCGTCGTCTTGCCCGGATGCCCAGTGAAAGGCTGAGACTTGCGAAACGGTCGCCACATTCGAGAGTTGTTTGGGGGTCCAGCGGAGCGACGTGCTACCCAGGCTAATAATTGGTTTCGCCATCTTTGTTGGGCTGCGATCTGCGTAACTGTCGCCATGTTCGAGGGCTGCTGGGGGGTCCAGGGGAGTGACGTGCTACGCTGATGCAGGCTAGACCTCGCCATCCCTGCTGGGCTGCGATCTACGAAACCGTCGCCTAGTTCGATGGCTGTTGGGGGGTCCATCGGAATGACGTGCTACCAGCTTCAAACTTGACATCAGTGTGGGGCTGCGATCTGCGAAATTGCCGCCAATTTCGAGGGCTGCGGGGGGGCCCAGCGGAGTGACGTGCTACGCAGATTCAGAATAGACCTCGCCATCCTTGTGGGGCTGCGATTTGTGAAATCGTCCCCACTTTCGAGAGCTGTTGGGGGGTCCAGCGGAGCGACTTGCTATTCAGAATAAGATTTGACCTCGCCATCTTCATGGGGCTGCAATATGCGAAATGGTCGCCAGTTTCGAGAGCTGCTGGGGGGTCCAAGGCAGTGACGTGCTACGCTGATTCAGACTAGACCTCGCCATCCCTGTGGGGCTGCAATCTGCGAAACCGTCGCAAGTTTCGCAGGTCGCTGGGGGATCCAGCGGACTGACGTGTTTCGCAGGTTCAGACTGGACCTCGTCATCCGTGTTGGGATGCGATCTGCGAAATTGCCGCCACGTTCGAGGGCTGCGGGGGGATCCAGCGGAGTGACGTGCTACGCCGATTCAGACTCGACCTCGCTACCTTTGGGGGGCTTTGATCTGCGAAACGGTCGCCACTTTCGTGGGCTGTTCGGAAATCAGCGGGGTGACATGCTACGCTGGATCTCGCCATCCTTGTGGAGCTGCGATCTGCTCGAGGGCTGCTAGGGGGTCCAGCGGAGCGACGTCACATTCAGATGCAGATTCGACCTCGCCATCCCCATGTGGTTGCGGGCTGCGAAGCTGTCGCCACTTTCGAGAGCTGCTGGGGCTTTCTTTGGGGACGCCCAGAACATGATTTGACGAAATGTTGTCCGGACCTGAACATTCTTCCATAAATCCTTTGTGAAGCGTGCCAAGCTTGTGCCTCCAGGTGCCATGCGCATTATTTGACGAAGGGGTCCGTCGGACATGCACATACTTGTTTGTTTCGGAGCATGTCGGGCCTGCGCAAGGATTGGCGGTGGAGAGGAAGGGGAGGAAAATGCGCTTGCATTTTCTCGGGACGCCAATCTGGTCTGACGCAATGGTCCCTCGAACCTGCACGTGATTCAATACATCCCTTGTGAAGCGTACCAAGCCTGTTTTTCCGGATGCCACGCGCAATCTTCGACGCACTTGTCCGTCGCATCGCAGCCCCACAGCTGGCGGGCGAGCTGGGCTTCGCCCGCTTCTTACAGTTGCTACAAGCAGGTTTAATCATTTCGAGCGCCGCGGCGACATGGCGCAGGGATCGCTGCATGTTTTGCGCATCACCGACAGATGCAGCATTCTCCTGTCTCCAACCGTCGCGTTCGTCGTCGTCCACCCCCGTTTTTGCCACCTTCTCTCTGTTAAGGCTGCGCTGCCTGTTCGGCCCCCCATCCGCCTGATCCCGAGGCTTTGCCCTCTCTTGGCCTCGACGTGAGGCCCCCCCTTCTGTTCTCCTCCCTCTGTCGATCAAAGCTGTGCGCGGCCCGCTCAGCTTCGACCGGAAGAGGCTCGCTCTCGCCCCGCAGATCAAAAACATTGTTTTGCCCCCCATCGCGTCCTTGCTCCCGCCCTGCGTTCCCGCCCCGATGTCCTCTTCGAGCCTGGGCCCCCGCCCCTCGTCCTCTTTTTTATGTGCTGCCGCGTGCATCATGCCACGCGCGCGTACCCCGCGCAGCCTACACGGCACACAGCGGGCGCAGGCATTGCCATTGTCCTGAGAAGTTTGAGCCACTTATTCCTGGCGCTCCATGTAAATGGCTTGGGTACTCACAGGGCAAGTGTCCCTCTACTGCTGGGCGGGCCGGGTGATGTTGGGAGCTCCTGCCTCCCAGGGAATACCGCCCCCATGTGCGACCCTGCACGGCAGGGGCATGGTAATCACGTCTGTAAGAGGATTGCAATATAGATCGTCATGGATCGTCACAGTAACCGCCGGACGCTTGAGATTTTGAGCTAGGGTTCACCATGAGAGCGCTCATGCGGCATAAGTAGTAGTAGCAATCGCAGTCGCAATCGTAGTCGTCGTTGTAGTCGCAACGCATTGCATCCCATAGACTGGACGGCATTGGCTGCACCACATAAATTGCACCCTATACAGATTGCACCACAAGAATTAGACATCGATTGTACGAGAGCCCACTGTTTGGGGCGATGTCCCATTATTATATGACATCCGATGCTTTGCCCAGATATCCCGTCCACCTCCGTTTGGTCGCATCTAACCCCCCAAGAAGGGGAGGCTACGTTTTCCAATTGAAAACGGGGTCTGGCCTTAAGATTCCGCCATGCTAACGCTTCGGGGTGTGGGTTTTCATGCCAGTAAATCTGGATCGGTCTGCGGTTGTAATTGCGCATCTTTTGGCGAGTGACAAAACGTTTTCATGCAGGCAAGCAGTTCCGGCATCCACCATTTCCCATTTGGAGAATTGAGCGGAAATAGGGTTCAACGAATTTCAATGCGAATCACCACCAGCTCCGATTCGAGATCTTCATTTCTTCAGCGTAGACGTCCGACTCTTCGTCGTCTTCCCCCCCATCGGTGCCAAGCCACCGAAGGACCACTCCAGATCTTCATCTCAGAGCATCAGCAGCTCTGGTCCAATGTTTCTGAGTGCATCGCAGATTTTAGATTATTGTTGCGCTGCCATCTTTGCGAAATCAGTCAACCCAAAAATAGTTTGAGTCGTTGTTTCCATGGGATGTGAATTCTACGTGCCAATAGTTGGGATCGGGGCCGCCACGAGCTCCGACTGAAAACATGAATAAGATATCTTGGAGCGTTGATTCCCCCTCGCACTTTGTGGCGTTGCGACGTCACTGAATCTACCAAGGTATTGAGAGGGAGAATCAGAAAAACATGAAAGAGCTTCGGGCACGTGAGATGGTGAAGCCGTAGCAAACGGAGGCAGGGGAACACCCACGCAGTTACCCGACATAGGGGGGAAGGCGTGAACAAGGAGCCAGTCGTAGCGCATTCGGCACTGAAACAGCAGGCTCCTTGCACGAGTTCCTCAGAACATGGCATGCTCATGAGCTGTTGCTGGCGTAAGTAGGGTGCTCCAGCAGAGTGGCGTGCAATCCCTCTGCGCATGCGTTATGCATCGCCACCATACTTTTTGTCCTCCTCCTCCTCCTCCTCCTCCTTCCTCCTCCTCCTCCTCCTCCTCCTCCTCCTCCTCCTCCTCCTCCACCGCAGCCGCCGAAGCCTCCCTGAGCTCCCAGGCAGGGGGCAGAGCTGGCGGCACAAGGGGGGGGGCCGCCACTGGCGGGAGAGGACGTTTATCTTCTCCCGATGGCCGCAGAGGAGGCCAGAGCCGGAAGCGGGGAGGACATTCCGCTTGCTATGCTCATTCTGGGGTGGACAGACCTCCTACCTTGACACGTCGATTCAGGAATTGGCCGTTTTCGGTTCGCGAGAGGGCGTCGCGGCCGCCATTTTTGCGGGTCCAGGTCCGTCGGTTTCGGTCCTAGGCCATTCTCCCCGAAGGGTGGTTTGCTAAAGGGAGGTTTGTCCACCGCCGATTCTATGCTTATGATGTTCCAACCTACTTTAGCCTGGATCACCGGAAAGAGTTTCGAGCACCAAGAGAGTACCGAAATTCTAGGGTTTTTCACGCGTCGGGCCCTGGGGAGCACGCGTTCGACACTGTCTCGGCACTGTTTCGACACTTTTCCAGGTGCTCGAAATTATTTCTGGGATGTGGTCCTTAAGCACGATGGGAGCAACAGATTCTAGGCCTCCTACATGGGTCCGAGTAATTAGATGGGGTCGGAGGAACGTGCCGAATTGCCGATGCATCGACGATGCGGTTCGATGTGGAGCCCGCGTTTTTCCGCGCCGACGTCGCCGTTGCATCGCCGACGTCGCCGATGTATCGGCGATGCATTGCCGATACATCGGCGATGCATTGGCGATGCGGCGCGATCCTCCGACCCCGTCTACTCGGATCCCATCTAGGAGGCCTCTATTGATTCTTTTGTTGCAGCGTCGCGTTGTTTGGCGGAAGCTCGGATGAGTTCGAGAACGGGGCCAGGACGAGGATAATAGATCCGTCCCAGGGTGTTCCGGAACGCTCTCGCAGCGCTCCGGAACGCTCTGAGAAGGCCGCGGCGCCCGAGACATCTTCCAGAGCCGCCAGATCTCAGAGATTCCCGATCTATCATCCCCCGATGTTTGTCCTCGTCTTGGCGTCGCCTTGGGCGTCGGAGGCTGACAGCGCCCCCACCTTTTGCCAAAATCGGCTGCACGTGAGGGTGGCCCTTCGCCGGAGTGACTTCTGGTGCGGGCCCAATGGGCCCCCCCGATCGCCGATCGCGATGCGGCAGTAGCGTCTTGCGCGCTAGAGTCACGCAGGGGTCACCAAAGTCGCGCACCAGAGGTCACTCTTACCAAGGTCACTCTTGCGTGTAGGGTAGGTTCGTGTCGTGTCGACCGGCTACGACTCCAGCGCGGGCGTGCAAGGTTGAACGCCGCCCGCGGCACAGAATCGGCCCATTGTTAAACGATTCGGCGTTTCTCGAGGGGCCGATCGTTCAAGTTTGAACCATCTCCGCGGCGTCAGGAACCATCGCCGGGGTCCACACGACGCGAACCTTCCGTGCCCAGGGCCACTCATTGCGTGTAGCCGCCAACAGTCGATTGGTGAACGAGCTGCCCTCGTTGCTCCTCAAACCTGCCTCTCGCCCTTGCTCCTCCTCTTCCTCCTCCTCTTCCTCCTTTTCCTCCCCTTCCTCCTCCTCCTCCTCCTCCTCCTCCTCCTCCTCCTCCTCCTCCTCCTCCCTCCTCCTCCTCCTCCTCCTCTTCCTCTTCCTCCCCTTCCTCCTCCTCCTCCTCCTCTTCCTCCTCCTCCTCTCCTCCTCCTCCTCCTCCTCTCCTCCTCCTCCTCTTTCCTCCTCCTCCTCCTCCTCCTCCTCCTCCCCTCCTCCTCCTCCTCCTCCTCCTCTCCTCCTCCTCCTCCTCCTCCCCTTCCTCCCCTTCCTCCCTTCCTCCTCCTCCTCCTCCTCCTCCTCCTCCTCTCCCTCCTCCTCCTCCTCCTCCTTCTCCTCCTCCTCCTCCTCCTCCTCCTCCTCCTCTCCTCCTCCTCCGCCGCCTCCTCCTCCTCCTCATCCTCCCTTTCCTCCTCCTCCTCCTCCTCCTCCTCCTCCTCCTCCTCCTCCTCCTCCTCCTCCTCCGCCGATCCCCGTCGTCGCAACCGCTGGATTCGCTTCAAAACCCTGGACACACTGCACCCCGGGAGAGGCCTTGGGAGTAGCGGCATTGATATCCTGTGGTTCCCCCAGGGAGCTTGTGCAGTAGAAGAAGACATGGCATAAATATAATGTTTGGCGGGCGCTCTGCGCGGATTTCTTGGATCTGCGCTGGACCCCCCTCCCTGGCGCGCGGAGCGCGCCAGGGGCGGCGCCGTAGGCGCAGCCAGGGGGCCCAGGCACCGATCCAAGAAGTCCGCTCAGAGCGCCAAACGTTGATGTTTATGGCGTTGTTTCGTCTTCGATTGTGGGCAGCCTTCGAAACAAGACCGCTCGGCGCGCGCCGTGGGGCCAGAAAAGCTGCAGGTGTTGAGAGCGCCGCTCAACACCGGGCGCGTTCCACCACTCGCCAACTTTGGGAACCCCCAAACCGGGTGGTGAGATACCAGGTGGCGACCTGGAATCCCCCAAAAGGTTACCGCTGGGTTTGGGGACGCGGGGTCACCACCGGGTTTTGTGACTCCTGAACCCACCAGTGTCCGGGACATCCTCGGAAAACCGCACGAGTCCCCAAACCGGGTGGTGACACCAAATCGCCCGAGACTCACCGCCAGGTGTTGTCACCACCACGTTTGGGGACCACCAAAAAGTGCCTACTCGCAAACGTCCGACCAAGAACATGCCTTCCTATATGTCATGGATCGTAAACCCCCGCGGTGGATCCGGGCCAATTGCGAGCAGTTGCCTTTCGAGTAGTGGAACGCGCTTGTCCGCCTCGAGAGGGGGGGGGCTGCAGGGAAGGGCGCGCGGGGTGCACACAGGAATCAAGGGAGCGCAGATTCGGATATGGTGGGAGCTCTCTCGAGCATGTTCCAATGGAGTTCCGTGCTCAGCATGGCCACACAGTCAACCCGAATAGTAAGGATGCGCAGCCTTCCCAAGGGTACCCTTGCATCCTTACCCCTTCGACCCATCATTAGCGACTCTCGCTGACCAACCTCGTTCGAAAAACGCTAACGTGGCCCTCCAAGGCCCTTACATCGTTGCCGCGCATCATTACGATACGGGTTGACTGTACGGCGTCGTGAACGACTCAAGAATTTCTCATCGCAAAGTTGGAGGTGCTTCCGATATCCACGCTTATTGAGATGAACAACAGGATTGTTTATGGAATGTGCAGTCGATCGTCGTGCCTTCTCAGTGGCCGAGGTCGGTTGTACAAGGCAGGTGTCACGGGGCGTGCAAATCCGTCACGCAGACAGGGTCTTCTGAGGTGCTAGTAGCACGTGTCGGTGTGCCACACGTTCAGGAAGCCTTTTGCAAGCCAGATTTATGATTGAATCTCGCAGGACGGTGAGGATGTCGAGAACACCATGGACAAGAGGGAGATGGACAATCAAGAGCTGCTTCGAGCGTGCATGAGGAATGACACTGAAGAGGCCATGAGGCTGCTTGAAAAGGGTGCAGACCCATGCTTCGAAGATGACAGACAGTGGAGTCCACTCATCTGGGCTGCCTCGCATGGGAACGAGGTGCTGACAAGGTTTTTGCTTCAGAAGGGCGCTGCGGATGTATACCGGTATGACGAGTCACAGGGTCAGGTAAGGAAAAAGAAGCACAGCCCGTTGCATTGGGCCGCATTCAAAGGCCATGTGAAGGTTCTCTGGCTGCTCATGGCACCACCACATAGTTTATCCCATCACGAGAAAGATGCAATCGGCAATACGGCTCTTCACCAGGCAGCAGCAGGCGGCTCTCTCGAATGCACGAAGTGCTTAATGGCGCAGGGCGTTGATGTGTTCGCCAGGAATGACAGAGGGCACACACCATTTGCGCTCTGCACAATGCCTGAGGTCCAAGAATTACTCAACAAGGCTATGAGCCAGACTGCGTGCAAGGCCACCGGGAAGCAGTTCTCCTCCACAGTGTTGAGGTATTTGTGTTCATCGTCATTGGACTTGTTTTGCGAGTCCGCAGTCACGCAGATGCACGTGTACGAGGACCCAGAGTCAGAAGAGAAGGAGAAACCCGTCACGTGGTGTACTGAGGTGAAGAACATTGTCCAAGAGGCGGAACACCAGCTCGACCGCGCCATGCACCTCAATCAGCTCGATACAATCACTGCTGCCCTAGCGGCGGCCGAGGGCAAGCCAGTTGATTGCCAGTTGGTGCACAAGTGCGGGCTTCGCAAGGCCAAGCTAGAGTCCGAGATTCAGCTCACTGAGGCGATGCAAGTGCAGGTGGTGGAGAAGCTCGAGGAGTTCAACGAAACTCACCAGGCCCTCTCCCAAGCCATCGACAATGCAGAAATGAAGCAGGCCCTGGGGGGTGAGGGTGGGGGGGGACTCCGTCGAAGTCAAATGCGGTCCATGGGACGCCAACGGGGGAATGTCCTGGAACGGGGGAGTGAGCGGTCAGCAATAGACCCATCAGAAATCTCAAGCCTGTGCAGAGTTACTGCTTGGGTAGGTCCTGCGCCGGAGACAGGCGAAGAGGAAGAGTGGGAGGGGGAAAAGAAGAGGAGGAGGAGGAAGAGGAGGAATGGGAAGAAGAAGAGAGAGAACGAGAGGAGGGAAGGAGGGAAGGAGAAGAGGAAGGAGATTGGTCGGGGAATGGGTCCCATCCACCCGTCGAAAGGCGGACGCGGACCGCGTCGAAGCCGCGAAGGCGCTCCGCAGGAGACTGGGCGACCAGAGAAGTCCCCAAAGCCCGATTCATCCAATGCAGTCGCAGGGGAGCCTTTGCGGATAGCTCACCGTGCTCCTCCTTCTCCTCCTCTTCCTCCTCATCTCGGAGGTGGATAGACCTCCTACCCTGACACGTCGATTAGTGAATTGGCCGTCTTCGGTTCGCGAGAGGGCGTCGCGGCCGTCATTTCTGCGGGTCCAGGTCCGTCGGTTTCGATCCTGGGTCGTTTTCATGTAAGGGAGGTTTACTAAAGGGAGGTTTGTCCACCGCCGATCATCATCATCATCATCATCATCATCATCATCATCATCATCATCATCATCATCATCATCATCATCATCATCATCGTCATCGTCATCGTCATCATCATCATCAGCATCAGCATCAGCATCATCATCGTCATCAGCAGCAGCATCATCATCATCAACATCAACATCAACATCAACATCATCATCAGTGGTGGTGGTGGTGAAGTGGTCTTTGTAGTAGCTTGAGGAACGGCGGGGTACTTTGCCCGATGCGCCTTCCGTGCAGCAGGCGGATTCCTTGGCGTCCATACTTGGCGTCCCCACTGTTGTAGGGCATGCCCACCATACGTCCTCTGGGCGGGCCACGTCCAGAGCTGAGGGGCGACGGTTGGTCTCCCGCGCTAGTTGTAGTAGTGCGTGTAGTAGTGCGTTGTAGATCTCACCTGGCATCGCCTGGACGTGTGCATTTTTTCTCGGCGAGAACCATCGAGGACCATCCTCGACCAACGAGCAAAAAAAAAGCATGCACGAAACCGAAAAATGCACGGGAAATGGACGTCCGAGCGACGGCGAGAGTAGTGCGTTGTAGATCTCAGGATTCTGGGCCTTCGGCCAAGAGCAAATGAAACTGTGCAGGGGAGCCCGGAACGCGCAGCTGCTAAGTGTGCGCGGATTGCCGCGAGTGTTCGGCGACACGGACGAGGGGTGACCATCGCCGACTCCAGAGGCACCTCCGCGAGTCCAAAGAAAGACTTCGATTCGTCTGACGCGCTGATCGGAGGACCATGCGGACATTCCACGCCTTGCTGAGCAGGGCGCTAATGTTAAGTCGGGCCAGTCCCTCTACAGGGGGAATACTCAAAAATAGTCAAAACATAGTCTGGGGACTATTGTTGAGCATTTTTGGGGCAATTTGAGAACATGGTTTGAGTATTTTATATTTTTCGTCGAATATCCCCCTGTAGGGGGACATGCCCGACTTCACGCTAATATGGAATAGGCACGAGGAAGGCCTCACGAACGTAAATAGCCAGCACAACAAGTTCCAGAGACTGAAACAGATTTGGCACATTCTCTCAGTGGAGCAACGCTGAGCAGCCGTTCGCAAAGCTCCGGTTCAAGCAGAATAATTTTTGATTGAACCGAAGATACGTTGAATTGTTCCCAGTGGAAGCGTTGGTAATCGTAGTAAAGAACGTGTAGCGTTGGAGAGCTCAGGAACAGCGCCTGCCGAGACTAAGCCTGGTTGCAGGCGTGGGGGTGCTGTCCGTCCGACTCTTTCACGGCAGGTAACACCATCAGCATCATCAAAATCACCACCACCACCATCGACATCATCATCATCACCACCACCATCACCACCACCACCACAATCATCTATTCAGTATTTCTTCCTCCTCCGCTCCTCCTCATGTTCAGTATCCTTGTCTGTCTTCGTCGTCCTCCTCCTCCTCCTCGCATCATCATCATCAGCATCATCAGCAGCAGCAACATCATCAGCATCATCAGCGGCGAGTCCCTGGGGGAACCGAGAGAGGCAGGCCTTCTTGGAAGGCGGCGGGGCTTCTCAAAAGCCCTTGCGCTTTCTGAGAAGCCGTCTGTGTCTTCGGAGAAGGCCGAGAAGGCTTCCGTGGACGGCGCGACAGCTTCTGAGAAGCCCCGCCGCCTCTGAGAATGCCCGCCCCCTCGCACTTCCCCCTGGGCCCGCCGCGCATCTGTCTGGGCTTCCCACATGGGGTCCGCGTCGATGGGATCGGAGGATCGCGCCGCGTCGCCGATGCATTGTCGATGCATCAGCTATGTCTGACATGCATAGGCGACGTCGGAGTGGAGCAAGTCGAGCTCCATATCGAGCCGCATCGCCGATGCGTCGGCGATGCGGCGCGATCCTCCGGCCCCATCTGCTCGGACCCCATCCGGGAGACCTGTAGATCTTAGACACGTTGTCCAATGTATGTGTACATGCCGCAGTGGTGGGAGCACGTGTTTTTAAGTGAAAAAGAATGCCAAACTCCCAAAAAGTGGCCCGAAATTCGCACTTAAAATTTTGTTCTTCCTGAACAAGAGTCTTTTTTTTCACCTGACTGCACTTGATCTTAGCCAAACGGCCGCTTGGGTCCCGAAGCCTTGCGGCGAGGGGCCGTTTGGGGGCTGCGAGGTCACCCGCGCGGTCAGGTCGCGCCGCACCGTCTGGGGAGCCCCGGCACGGGGCACCCTCCCCGCGGCGCTGCTCGCGCTCGCAGGCGCTCTCGCTCCTCCCCCGCCGTACACCTTAGGCGATGCTTAAGAAAACTTAAATTTTCGGCCAGAGTCTCGATGATTCTTAATGTTTCAACGTAAACCCCAAGATTTAATAGAAAATTTGGGTTTTTATTCAAGTTCTGAGACTATGAGTTTCTTAACCCATGATTTCTTAAGCATTTCGCCAGGTGTAAGACTGTGGTCCATACGTCGATGCGTACACGGACGATGACAACGGCAGGCAAAGTCGCCTCCCCGTCTCCAGCTTCAGACCCCACAGAGTCCAGAGTCCAACCCCTGCTCAGCTCAAAGAACAGCTCTCCTGAGGGCCCCGGCCCCCCGGCGCTGCCCTCGTGAGGCCGGTCCCGCCAGACCGACATCGCGCGCTCGCGCAGCCCGATACGCACTTAATCTCCTCGAGGGGTTCTGTCTCTGCCAAGCGTGCCCGCCCAGCGAACCGTCTCGCGTGATCGCTGCGCTCACTGGAGGAGTGTCCGTTCTTACCCCCTTCAGCTTGCCTCCTGTTACATTTTTTCAAGGAATTTTCCCACTCCTCCTCCTCCTCCTCCTCCTCCTCTTCGTCCCAGTCCTCCTCCTCCTCCGCGCACGATCTGGTCTTCGTAGGCTCCACCCGGCTCTCGATGGAGTCCCCCACCGCCGCGGCGGGGTCTGGTTCGGAAGGCTTATCGCAGCGGTGCAGCGCAATGAACAAGATCGGCATGTGGGCCACCATTCCACCACTCCCTCCTCCCCTTGCCTCTCTCATCCTCCCCCTCGTGATCACCATGCCTCCCCCTCCCGTCCTCCCGCTCTTCCACTCTCCACTTGCTCCCCCATCCTGTTCCCCCCTTCTTACCCTCCACCCCCACCTCCACCCCTGATACGTGATTTACTTTTTCATCGCACCACTAGACGTGTCGGTAGGACGTGCCGGTCATGTCGCCTGAGACCGCATCGCTGTTGAGGATTCTGAGGTTTGAATTTCCAACACGTGTACGGACGCCGAGCAGGTGATTCTCAAAATGTATTTCTCACCCTATCGTTGCCCACATCCGTTTGAACAGCATGTCGTTTTCAAAGGGTCGTTCCCGCCACAGCGCCGCGCGAACTCGTCCTAAAAGTTTCGGAAGGTTACGGCGAATGAGGGCGAATGATGTTCTACATGTGGACATGGCTTTGTCGCCGCGCCTATGTGTATTGGGCACTTGCTTTAGAATGTTACAATGATGTCGGAGGTTGATAGACCTCCTACTCTGACACGTCGATTAGCTAATTGGCCGTTTTCGGTTCGCGAGAGGGCGTCGCGGCCGTCATTTTTGCGGGTCCAGGTCCGTCGGTTTCGGTCCTAGGCCGTTTTCATTAAAGGGATTTTACTAAAGGGAGGTTTGTCCACCGCCGATGATGGAGGGTGGGCGGTATTCCAAATGCGGTTCTCGCCCAAGCGCCGCGCAGACTCGGTCGAATAGCTCCCAATCGTTAGAAGGGCTGGATGCCGGTTCCTGCATCGCATGGGGCTCTGCCTCGCGCGGTTCCCTTTGGGCCTCCGTTTCGAAATCTTTCCATTCTATGACAAGAAGTGCACAGTTGTACAAAGGCTACAATTGTTTGTTGCGACGGTTTCAAGCCGGGGATCTTGTTGGACACTTCCTTGTTGGAGATGTTGGTGACAGGCTTACATTGGCCTTGACACCCTCGGTTGGAGGCCGAGCAAAATATTTGGGAGGCGATGAAGAAACAGGCCAGAAAACGGCTAAGGCTATTCCCAGCCGGAGTCAGATCTGCATTGCCTTCCATTTCTCGTAACGCGAAGTCTGCCCTCCCGTACTTATTGAAGAGGAATGGTTGCAGGGACTTAGGGGAAGGGGACTTGGGACGGGGGGGCATGTTGCAGCATCGTTGACGCATCCCAGTTTATACTGGTCCTCCTCCCTCTCCTCCCTCCTTCTGCTTATAGACTTCTCCTCTCTCTCCTCTCCCCCGCAATCCTGATGCGTTGCATGGGAGGTGCACAGAAGGGACCTCGAGGATAGGTGTTGGGCCAGGCCGATCTTGGTGCATAGCGGAAAACAAATTTGTTTGTCCGAGGTGCGCGGTGCGGTTCTCGGTACGCAGCTCAGGCATCGGATGGCATATCGGGTTGATGTTGGCGCCCCCGTGAAGGTCTCGACGATGCGCAGCTGTTGGAGCAAGTCCCGGGGAGGCCTCAGAACCTCCAAGAATCCTTTCCATGAGGAGGAGGATGTGCAGGAGGACCAGGTGGGGGAGGAGGATGAGGACCACCTCCTTCCCAAAGAAATGGCCTTTTGCTAGATCAGGCTGGTTTCGCACGAGGGAGCACGCGGCTTACTGCTTAATTCATTGTGTTTTTCTGTTTGAATGACCCTAGCGCGCATGGACTTGGGAATGAATGAAGAACAGGAGGAGGAAGAGAGGGAGGAGGAGGAGGAGGAGAAGGAGGAAGAGGAGGAGGAGGAGGAGGAGGATCCCCATCCTTCCCCTCC